ACTAAAAAATTTCTGGATCATCTCAGTTTCTGTACACAGAAATCCACAGTTTTCCTTCTCAGTTTTTAGCTATCTAAAGTATCTTAGATCTGGTTTTGTCACAATTTTCCAGCTTTTTCAGTTTTGTTGTTGCAAAAACTGGACAAAATACTTTTATTTACTCCTTTATCACTGCAGATCCTTGTCATCATTGCCCTTATAACTATAATGCAACAGACTCTCTCCCATTTTAATCACTTACTAATTCTGCAAACCAAAGAAAGACCCCATCTTTCTTTCACTTAATACATTTATTTAACCCATTGTTCTATTTATTTTAAAACATATTTTATGTTTACACCTTAAGTCCCAGACCTCATAAAACTTCGCCTGACCCTCAGTTTACCCCTTACAAAGCAGTGTCTCAAAAAAGGTGCACATTTTCTGTTATTCTCATCATTTATAGCTCCTCTCCCTTCAGCCCTCTCATGGTAATTTGTTTCTTCTCCTTACCAAATTCAAACTTTGCACCTTTTCCTTTCAGGCTCCTCTAACCCTTTTGAGCACCATGCAAGAAGAGTTTCCCCACCTTTACGATCAGCTCCCTCAGGCAAACATCTCTGTAACATCTTTCCTCTGAAGTACATAACAAACAGACTTAAACTCTGCCATTTTCTTAGAATATTCTCTCAGATGTACCTATAATCAGTTTTTAGATCCAAGACTGAACTCTTACCTTTATAAAATGGCCTGCCAGTTAGAATATCTCCCCTGTTGGAAAAGCCAGGACCTCTGGGGCACAGAGCCCCATATTCCTTGGTGCCAGGCTTGGGGCACTCCTCGCAGTCGGAGCCCCAGGCAGCCCCCACGGCACAGCAGCAAGCATCCATGCGGAACTTGCCAGGCACAGCCTGAATGCACTCATCTTCGTCCCACTTCAGGTAGCATTGCTCCATGCGAATATCTGCTCATCCAACAACAACAAACAGGCATTTTAATCTTTGCTGATGTTTTCAGGAGCATCTGTTGCTGAGGCACGAGCATATGTGAGGCTCAGTTTCTGGGTGTCAGAGTCTTCTGATCAAGGCTCTACATTTCTGCACAATAGTCAGCATTTGAAGTTGCTGATCATAGAATTACAGAATCATCAAGGCTAGAAGACACCTTTAAAATCAAGTCCAACCATCCACCTAGCACTAGCACTGCACTGCAGCTATGTTTCTGGATGTCTCTCATACCGCATAAAAATAGAAGCATTTCTTTTGTTGTCTCCCAATATCAATATACACCATTACCCAGAGATGACTGTGCTTCTTAGTTTTCTATGTGCATTTGATAGGACAGACATATGTCTTTCTTTACTCTATCAGGTACTTTCATTTACAGAATGACCAGCAATCAAGGTAAAATAATATTCCTACCTATATTTATATAATTAAATTAATTTAACAGTGCAGTGAATACAGAGAAATAAAATTGCTGACTGTTGTCAGGATTACTTTAATACCAGCTAGCAGGAGAAAACTATGGTTTACAGAAAAATTAATCATGTTTATACTCAAGAGTCCCATTTGCAGCAAAGTAGGTCAACCAGAAGATAGGCCAACCAAGTGTGCAGGCAAAATCTGGATGTGTGTGCCCAAGTATCAGGAAAAGAGCCACACACTGGTCTGTACACTGAAAAAAGACCAGTTTGCACTAGGATTATTTGTGATTGCCATTTATCGCTCAGTGAGGAAGACATTGCTGTTTGTGGAGTCAGAGCAAGGACAGCACTTTAGCAAAGCCTATCAATTGCACTGAGGGCAAAACAGGCCTCAACACAAACACTCACATTCCTTGAAGGAATTAACAGCTCTTCTCTAAACTGACACAGGCACTTGATATCTAAGCAGGCATAAACGACAACATACACTTAACAAACTGCTTTTGGACCAATTCAGAAAGAAACCAAACTTCCTTTCACAGCCCTTTGAGAATAATTTTGGGCTACTGTTGAACGCAGCAAAAAAAGCTGGCAGAGTTGAGAGAGCTCTTACCTAAGCACACTCGCCCTGTTCCATCCAGTGTCAGCCCCTCAGGGCACTCACAGTGAAATGAACCTCTGCTGTTGATGCATCGCCCATTAGAGCAAACCCGGGGGAAAACATCACACTCATTTACATCTGTTGGAGAGACAAAGAGTTGAGTTATATGCTGACTCGAAGGAGACAACTACAGCTCTATGGAGAATTTAGGTGACATGAAAGAAATCAAGAGGTTTTCATCCATATTGCACAAGGGTCTGAACATTGCTCTGAACAAGCATCTGGCTCAGTCTCAAGGGTCTCCTGGAAGATCTTCAAGTCAGGACACTAAGATGCCACATTCTCCAAGACTAGATGGGTCAAAGATGGACTAAGGGACTAAATATATTTTGAAGGAGTTCCATTGTCTTTGTATCATTTTGGTACTCTCCAACAGTGTAACCTAACACTTGTCAACAGTCAGTAACTGTTTATGAAGTCATTTATCTAAGGCCAAGATGATCATGCCTGACAAAAACAACCTCGTAAATCCCCTTTTATTTCCTTTTCAAAGAGAACAAAAGTGACATCTCACCTTCACAGGTAACACCCTTCACTCTGGCAAATCCTCTTGAGCAAGCTGTGTCTGGAATCAAGCCAGAAATATGTATTACTGTTTTAGAAAGACAGAAATGTAGGAGCAAATAGTTGAAAAATAAACATGCCTGCAGAACTTTCTAATAATTTGACTGTATAAGGTGGTGAGTGCTCCAGCCTCATTCAAGAAAAGTACTGACTCACACATGTTACTTAAGTGAATAGTTCAGGAAATGAAATTTTAGACAATTATATTCTCATATGGTTCCCTTAAGGGAGAGCAGAATCTATTTGTATCAATCTCTGCACTCAGATGTAGCTAAAAGGCAAAATTCCTGCAAAGCTGCCTGAAGATTTAAAGCTTTAGTGATGTCAGTTATTACTAAAGGCTTTTTCTTGCTGCTGAAGCTTAACGAATGATCTGAGCAGTGACATTGTTTTAGGATATGCATGTAAAATGCAGCATCATATAGTGATTTGAAAGCTTGCTGAAATTTAACTAGTTACAGAATACTAGATTAAATGGCCAAATGTAACCAATCTGACCTAATTAGCTATCTAGATAGATTAGGTTTTGACCAGTTTTACCAGTCTAACCTGGCCATGCTGCTTCCTGCAGTCCAAAGTAGTGTTTGTTGCACTGCACAGTTAAGAGCTCTGTTGGATGCTGTTTGCACTGTGCTTGTTGGATGGGACACATGTGCCCACAGTTACTGTTCCAGTTAAAAATGAGAGGCTAAAACATTTTGACACTAGTTCAGCTACAAATGGCATTATTCAAACCTTATGGGGAGAACACGGCTCAGTGTTTTTACCACAGACTAGAGCACACAGTTAGCATTCCTCTTTCCAACTTCTAGACCTAGCACGGTAATCTAATAGCAGCACTATTCTGTATTCAATAGTTGTGTATAAGTTATGTGTTTGAAAAGAGTTGGAAAAACTGTAAACAGCCCAGAACATAAAAAGCCTACCACTTTACTATTGTAGTTCTTACCTCCCTGTGCCAATAAATAACACAGTCCCTGTGGAAATGAATCGTGTAAACATTAGAAGATTTCTGCTCCTGTTATTTCCTGGTAGGTTCAACTTTGTCAGAATGATTGATGACGGTGGAGATTACAAGTGATGCTAAATACGACAACTTCATTTCACAGTGTTTTGTGTTGTCTGTTTTCTACATAGAGAATGAGAATCTATCTAGTGGTACTTCCTCTCTTCACCCAAAAGATGCAGGATATGAGAACATACCTAATTCACATCGTTCACATGGGCTGCCCCAGGCTGCTCCTAAGGTAGCACAGCATTCAGATTTCAGTGTAGCACCATTGATATTGACTTCACATCGATTGTCTTGGATGTTAAGCCAACAAGTCCCCTTCAGGCTATCTGCAGCAGAATAGGAAACAATACGGAATTGTCACAGCAAAAGAGCTGGCATGCCATGTTCATGACAACAGCAGTCAGAGGACCAAGGGAATGCAGCCTCTCTTTTAAAATAAAATATTCTATCAGAGCAATATTGTAGACATTTTAGTTTAGAAGTGGTGGAAAGGAATAGCACAATCACTAAAAGTAAGCAATAGAGCACACTGCTCAAGGCATTTTACAATCCAAGTCCCAAAGCTAGCAGAGGTCCTCCAGACACTACAGCGGAGTTACTTATTTTAGCTCGTGACTGATCCACCTAAAATACACAAGTTACAATGAAAGCAGAGATCTCAACCTGGTAGACCTCCTTCCAGCCAACTGCCTGAACCACTTATGAAATGCAGGTTGCTCTTGCCTCTCTTGAAGGTGAGCCTTCAAGGGTGCAAGGAAGTGTGCTGGTTTGAAAGCAAACCAGTGAGAGACTCCAAGTCAAAAATACAATTTAATAGGAAAAACAAAACAATAAATGCAACTGTACAAAAAGAAACCACTGGCAGAGTCAAAAAGCAACCTGACAGCCTGTCAGTCAGGGTGTTGGTAGTAGTTCGATTAACTGGTGGCTGCAGTCCTGCTGGAGTGATGAGTCTGTTGGAGCAGTGATCCCACAGATCTGGTCTTCACCTGAAGGTCCAGTGGCAGCTCTTGTCCTCTGGGAATCCAGTAGGCAAAGGGCTCTGTGCTGGTCCAAACCCCAGCTTATATCCCTGTGGGAATACTTGGCTCTCTCCCTTAGGGTGAAGTATCTCACCATGGGACAATGTAATTCTGTGGGTCATGCCTGGGTCCCTGACAGCCCATTAAACAGAGACAGCCCCTGGGGGAGCCATCAGGGGTGAGTAGGAGATAATGATCACTGCCCCCACCTGCCCCAACAGCTTGTGGAGACGATAATAGAATACACACCATTGGTTACACCCTACATTTTAACCTAGAACAGGAAGTTAGAAAATATAAAGATGCAGCATGTAGGGTGTTCTCTATTATTTTAGGAGTCTAGTTCTGCAGGTGCATTAGCTATACTCTGAACACATCTGTTGTGTTATACTCTGCTCTCTGCTCCTGAGGGCTCAGGCCCAGCACTCCCACCTTTGCCAAGCTGGAAAACCAGACCAGCTCAGGGCAAACCCATTCCAGTGAGTGCCCAATCACATCAGGCAACACCTCCGGATTTCTGCCCTAGGCCAGACAGCCACTCTGCAAACGGCAGATTTTCACTCACAAGTATTGTCTCTGCTGCCTGAAATCCTCAGAAATTCTCTTTTAGGTATCTAAATCTTCAAGTCATAAAATCTATGCTTTCAGTACTCAAGTAGTTTTTTTAAATATCAGATCTTAAATCAGTCACATACTTTATAAGTTGTGCCTTCAGCACCTTTGCTCACTACCTTTACATTCCTTTACAAAGTTACATTCAAATGGAACAACTTTTCCCAAAGTAGGCAACAAGCTTTGTGATCACAAAGCAAAAGCAGTGTGTAAAGATTTAACCCAAATTGGGAGGTCAAGCCTGGGTAGGGTTTAAATGTAGGTGCATACTCTAGAGCTCAAAGCTGAGCAAGTGGCCCAGATAAATTTAGTTTAATGACTAATGAAAGAAAAGTAGGATTTGACTTTTAGATTTACATACATTATATGTACAAAACCCCAGACTATCTAGTAGGTGTTGTTGATCAGTATTACTAATACCTCATGTCCAGGAGCAATGTGCTTAAGACAGAATCACTCCAGTTGGTTTTTTCAAGCAGCTTCAACTTTCTACAAAATTGCCATGTTATAAAATTATGCGGATGAACGAGAGCATGTCACTTTGTTAAAGTAACAAGAATTAAACTGCCCCAAGAATGTGACTGGAATCAGCACAGAAACTGGGCAATGTATTTCATTAGCAGTTAAGTGTGGAACAGTTATATTACTGTTGTATTACTGGTCTCAAACGTGTGGGGCAGAACACACAAGTGCACAAGCCAACAAGGGGTATGGAAGAGCG